CCCGTACCCTCAGGAAGAATCCGAGGATTGAACCTGAGGGGATTAGGGTGAAGCGAGGGAACCCAATTATCCGTCAAAGCCGCCACCCCCCTCCCATCTCCAATCTGCCATCTAACCCCCTGAACCAACAAGGCTCTCCCATACAATATACTCTGCCACCCCCAAGAAGGCCGAGAGCGGGGAGTCGCAGAAAGGAAGTCTCCTCGCGGAAAATACTTCCCTTTGTACACCTGTGCTAGGAGTGACTGAGGATCAGTAAGAATCCGCCATCCCACCTTAGCAAGAAGTGCTTGATTGAAGAACTCAAATCTGCGAAACCCCATCCCACCCTCATGCTTACTCTGACACATCCTACGCCAAGACATCCACCGAACACGAGACTGACCATCCTCCACACCCCACCAAAACCGCGCAACCAGCCTATCCAAGGTGCGACATAGCGATAGTGGCAACTTAAAGCAGGACATTACATGCAAAGGAAGAGCAGACGCCACAGACTTGATTAGAGTTTCTCTAGCCGCCATAGACAACGAACGCCGAGCCCAACCCTGAAGCCGGGCTACCAACCGTTCCTCCACAAACCGAAATGTGTCCATCTTTGAACGGGAGATGAGGGATGGAAGGCCCAGATACTTATCATGGACACCCACCCCCAGAACTTGGGCGAGAAACTCCTGATCAGCACTAGTGATGTTCTTGCTGAAGCATACTGCCGATTTCCCCAAATTAACCCGCTGCCCACTAAGTTCCTCATATTCATTTAGGACCACAATCAGATTCTCGCATTGCTCAAGCGAACCTCTTAGGAATAAAAACGAATCATCCGCAAAAAACAGATGGGAAATACGAGGAGCACGAGGAGCCACTTTCACACCTTCTAGTTTCTTTTCCGTGATTGCCTTGCGAAGGAGAGCCGCAAACCCCTCCGTGCAAAGCACAAAGAGAAGAGGAGAAAGGGGGTCACCTTGTCGCAAACCACGAGAAGCACGGAAGAAACCCGCCGGGGATCCATTCATAAGAATGGAAAATGAAACCGAGCTAAGACACACCCTAATCCAACCAATCCAGGTCAGGCTGAAACCCAGTTTGGCCAGAACCGTAAGAAGAAAGGACCATTCGACTCTGTCATAGGCCTTTTCCATGTCAACCTTTAGAGCCATGTATCCTTTCTTCCCCCGATTTTTTATTTTTAGGTAATGCATTAGCTCGTGCCCCACCAGCACATTCTATCTGACGCTCCTGGATAAACGCATTCTGCCCTTCCGACACAATCTTGGGCAGGAACGGGGCCAGTCTCTCTGTCATAATCTTAGTAATCACTTTATACACGAACTGGCACAGGCTAATCGGCCGCAATTGCCGAATGGTCTCCACATTATCAACCTTAGGGATCAGGGTGAGCCACGTATGATTGAAACTGAGGGCGAGTCTCAGCTACCTTTTGCTTTTCGTATATGGGGAAAAAAATCCAAAAGTACCAATGTTTAAAAAAAGAATTCCAAAAATACCACCCAACTCCAAAAAATTCCAAAAATACCACCCTTTTTCAAAAATCGTCACCCCACCCTGCGGTTTACACGAAAAGCGCTGGGCGGGGCACGGTTTTCTATGCAAACCGCGGCCTAGAGGCGGTTATATTAAAAAAAAAAAAATTGGACCAAACCGCTGGGTGGGGTGCAGCCAAAACCACCACCCCACCCAGCGGTTTGGTCCAAAATTTTTTTTTTCGATCAACTCCTAACTTCGTCCGAAACTTCAAACGATCGTAACGATTTTTTTTTCATTTCGCATAATTTTTTAAGATCTACAACTTTTACAAGGATGAAATTTTGAAAACAGGAATTAGTTGTGGATATACGGGACCTTGGGAATTAGGGATGGAAATGGGTCGGGTTGGGGGGGTTTTGAGAAACCCAAACCCATGGGTTTATCCATCAAAAAAACCCGGGGTAAAATCCGTTGGGTTTGAAAAACTCAAACCCAACCCAGCCCACTGGGTATCCGCTGGTTCATGGGTACCCGTGAGTTTTTGTGGTAAAAAATTTACAATAACAAATTTCTTTCAAAATAAAAATTTAACATCAATTTTCTCATACAAATTATTCATACAAAAACCACCAATCTAGAACATACAAGCAAACCGCAAATGATCAATACAAATTGTTCAAAATTAAAGATAAACATCTATAAACAACAAGATTAATTGAAATCTTCTTCCTCGTCAAATAAGTTTCTTCACTCTCCACTCAATAATATCAACTTCATTCTAAACAATTAGAAAGAACAAATTATACATGTCTCCACAAACATAAATAATATTAGTTGTTTAAAGAAGATATATTATTTAGAATATTAAATATACCGGGAAAGTAATTATATGTGTGGGCGGGTACCCATGGGGCGGGTTTACCTAAACCCAAACCCAACCCGGTGAATAGTGTAGCGGGTTTAAACCCGAACCCGGCCCAAAACCCGTCAACACGGGTTTTACCCGCGTTGACCGGGTTGGGTCGGGTGGGTACCCGTGGGTTCGGGTTTTGTTGCCATCCCTATTGGGAATAACTTTACCTTTACTTTTCACAAATCCATGTACATTTTGAAATTATGATTACTTTAAAAGTTCTAGATCTTGAAAAGTTATGCGGAATCAAAAAAAAAAAAAAATTCATGACGTTTGGATTTTGGAGCACAAAGTTATGGCCGCCCAAAGTTTGACGAAATCAAAAAAAGGCTCGTTCGGGTGGCAAATGACGTTTTTTCGAGACGAAGGCGGGACCCAGCGGTTTGCAAGATCTCAAAAATTTATTCGGATTCAAAAAATGGAGGCCGCAAACTTTTTGAGATCTTGCAAGCCGCAAACCGCCTGGTCTCGCCTTTCGTCAAACTTTGGGCGGCCATAACTTTGTGCTCCAAAATCGAACGTCATGAATTTGTTTTTATTCCGCATAACTTTTCAAGATCTACAACTTTTAACATAATCATAATTTCAAAATGTACATGGATTTGTGAAAAGTAAAGGTAAAGTTATTCTCAAGGTCACATATATCCACAACTAATTCCTGTTTTGAAAATTTCATCCTTGTAAAAGTTGTAGATCTTGAAAAGTTATGCGAAATGAAAAAAAAATCGCAAAGATCGGATACCCGAGTGCAAAGTTACGTTCGTTTGAAGTTTCGGCCGAAGTTAGGAGTTGATCGACAAAAAAAAAAAAAAAAATTGGACCAAACCGCTGGGTGGGGTGGTGGTTATGGGCTAAACCGCCACCCCACCCAGCGGTTTGGTCCAAATATTTTTTTTATAACAGCCCCTTAGCCCAGCGGTTTGCATAGAAAACCGCGCCCCCGCCCAGCGGTTTTCGTGTAAACCGCAGGGTGGGGTGGCGGTTTTTGAAAAAGGTGGTATTTTTGGAATTTTTTGGGGTTGGGTGGTATTTTTGGAATTCTTTTTTTAAACCGTGGTATTTCTGGAAAAAGTCCTCGTATATGGACTTGTTTGAGGCTTTGAGCTACGCCGTTGCGCTTCGGTGGGAACGGTATAACATATAACATTATTAATTGAGAAAAAAATCTCCTCTTAATGCATCAATCTATAATACATATAAGGAATAAAACTTAATAATCAACTCATAGTTAACCCTTAACATTACATGCAACTAATATAATTATCTTATAATAATATAAGTAGCTCCCTAACAAAAATATATACCAATGTTGTGGATAATAAATTGAGAGTGTTTGTATGAATTGTCTTAATCTCTCAGCAATTATAAAATGCTACAAATTCGTTACTTTTAGATTTCATTCAATATAATGTATGATATTTATTTAAATTAGGACCTCGTATATTTTTTTCGGAAGAAAAAATATGATATATGAACAATTACGATCTAATATCCAACAGATTATCATCCTTATATGATTATATCCCACTAGGAATGACAATGGGCAGGTCCGGGGCAGGCAGGTCGGGTAATTTGACGTGGGCGCAGTCAGAACAGGTCGACCCAATGGGTATGTAATTTATATGAAAAACATTAGAAATATTCTTTATTTTCAAGAAACAAGCCATAATATGATAAATGTAGTTAAATTACTGAAGAAGTTGAAGTTTTCCCTAATTTACAAATTTATTATAGCTAAAATATTATGTAATAAAAGGAAAAATTCTAAGTAATTTGACTAAGATTGCATGTAATTTAGACAAGAACATGTCAAGAATAGGGCGGGCAAGAACAGGTTGTATCGAAGAGAATACTCACGTCTGCCTGTCACGCCCCGCCTAAAGGGTGAGTCGAACTAGTCTAAAACAAGGCAATCAAATCGAGTAAAACGAGTCAGGTCAAAATTGTCATCCATATATCTCACTCTTCGTGGTTGCTGATTGGATAAACCAATCTATTTTCCCTTCCCGAATATGATTGGGAGGATTAGGTCTGACCAATCGAAACTTTGGGATGTAACAACAAAACCCAAAACCCAATAGCATTAGAATAAAAAACCTTGTGTGTTTTTTCACCAAAAAAAAAAACTTGTGTCGTGTCGTGTGCTTCTTCTTTTTCCTTTTGTCCATCCGTCCCTGAACGATAGAGAAACGTCGTCGCGTGGAGACCAAAGGCGAAGGAGAATCCAACCAAATCCCGACATCAACGGCCGGCATCGGCGAACAAGAAACAGACCGGATATCGCAGCTACCCGACGAGATCATCCATAAGATCCTCGCTCGCGTAGAACCCTCAAAAGAAGATGCAAAAACCAGTGTCCTGTCCCAAAGATGGGCCGACCTCTGGCAATCTTACCCAGTCCTGGAATTCCACGATACCCAGTTCCCGTCGATCCAATCGGCGAAGAGATTCGCCGAATCCGCCACCAAAAAAGTTCGGTGCCGGCAGTAACGGTACTCTGATCGCCATGTAAGCGATCAGGATTGAATTTGACAAGTTTGGAAGGCCGGCCGACGTCACCTGGGGCGACCCAGAATTCTGATCTGTTTTCCTCGATAACATGTTGGAGTTGGCTATAAAGAGATCTCCCCCGCCGCAAGAGATCGACATTAAAGCCCGCTTCGATTACAACATTGACGAGTTCGAATCCTTGGATTTCGATGGTTCGAGGACATACACCATCCCACGGAGATTAATTCTGCCCAGATTCAATCCCAGCATCCAATTAATTCGCCTCAAAGTTCTTAGATTGGTCCATTGCAATTTCGATCAGTTCAAGGATGTCAATTTCGATAGTAACCACTTCGTGGACCTTGGTAGCTCCCTCAGGCATCTCTCTCTCCACCGCGTTAGCTTCCTCGGCGGAGGCCGGATTGTGAATAGTTTGATCGCGGGGGCCTCTCTCTTACAGACATTGTCTCTGCGGTCGATTGTGGGGATTCGGAGGCTTCAGGTCCGGAATCTTCCCAACCTGAACTACCTGTGGTTTGAAGGCCTTGTTCAGGATCTGGAGATTACAGGGGTCCCCTCGATCTCTAGAAAGCTTGTACATCTGTGGTGCGCCTTTTGGATGTGATATTGTGGTGTCTTTTAGGGGTGGCAGAACGGTTTTTGGTTAGCAGTTAACCGGAGGATTTCAACCGAACCGACCGGTTTTTGGCTAACCAAAAAACCGATTCTCATTGCTTCGGTCGGTTGGCGGTGGTCTTTGGCAGGGATTCGGCTAGCCGACTAACCGGGGTCGGAAACCGGTGGTTAACCGGATAACCGACCCCTTCCCTTTCCCCAAAACGACCCGCTTCAGCCCCACTAACCCTAGTCCCTAAGTGTCAACTCTTTCCTCCTCCAGTCCTCCCAAATCCATCGCCGCTCAGACAGTCCCCTTCCCCCTTTAGCCCTCCTCCTCCAGTCCTCCCAAATCCATCGCCACTCCAGCCCTCCACCTCCACCTCGTCGCCCCGCCCACCACTGCCAAGAAGACGACAGTCAGCGCAGAGCCTCCGACGCCCTCCCCCTCCCACTCCAGCTCACCAACGCCCTCTTACTCGTCCTCTTCTTCTCCGCTGTCTACTTCCTCCTCCCCCGTTGGAGTGACAAGATCCGCACTCAAACCTCTCTCGACATCCTCACCTTCTCCGAAATCCTCGCCTTCCTTGCCTCCTTCGTCTACCTCCTCGGCTTCTTCGGCATCCAATTCGTCCAGTCCTTCCTCCTCCGCCCCGACGACGACGTCGCTGTTGAAGGCAGATTCGCCACCGCCTCCCCCCAATCCCTAAATTGCGCAATCCCCGCCGCCGCCACTCCTGACCTAGCCGCCGCCCCAATTGAATTATTACTTCCCCAAAACGACGAGGAGGTCGTCCAATCCGTCGTCTTCGGCGCCGTACCTTCCTACTCCCTCGAATCCAAATTGGGGGACTGCAAGCGCGCCGCCGCCATCCAGCGCGAGGCCCTCCAGAGGATCACCGGCCGCTCCCTCTCCGGCCTCCCTTATAGACCGTCATTTACACATGTTTTTACCCTCATACTTACACCGTTTGAGGTGTTGATTCTCGTGTTTTAGGCCGATTTCACGCTAGGTTGTGCTTGTTTGTGTTATTTCAGGTCCTAGTACGTGAATGAAGGCTGAGGAGCGAGTCTGGGGTCGATTGGACGAAGAACGGACGATTGGCGAGCTTTTGGAGGAGTGCACGGCCAGACCAGGAGGCTGCACGGCCGTGCACTTGAGCCATTTGGCCGTGCGCCTCACGCCGAGGCCATGCACGGGCACAATCCAGGCGTGCACGGCCGTGCGCCTGGCCGTGCAAGAAGGCTGAGCTCCAAATAAATGACACGGTGCGTTTTGAGGGTGCACGGCCAGAATGGTGTGGTGCACGGCCGTGCACCTGCCCGTGCAACTCGGGGAGACCGGTTTTAGTGCCTAATCCGAGCCAAAAGTGGGAGAATCGTGTTTTCAGAGCAAAAACAGAGCCCTAGAGAGAGAAAGTGCGAAGAACTCATCCTAGAAGCCGTCTAAGAGCTGGATTTCATCGAATCGAGCCTGGAGATCGTCATAGGAGTGAACATCATCGTCCCGGAGCAGATTATCCTCATCGTTATGAGTATGACTAATCCGATTCTTGTTTTCTCTTCTCTCTCTATGGAGTAGAACCTTTCTCTCACTTGGGTATGAAGAACCCTAGTTCCTTGTGTTAGGGATTTGATTGTAATGACTTGGGATGATATTATTGTTTGATTTTAATCGAATGATGCATGTTTCATGAATTGATTTGAGTCTGATCAGCTTGTTTCAATTTCTGCTTCAACCTGAGATAGATAGAATCTGATTAGGTTGTTAGAGCCTCTTCATTCGATAGTAGGAGATTGGCTATACGAGAGTTAGCCAGTTTACTGCTTTGTACTGGTGTTCTTGACGCCAGTAGTGGAGTTCTGTGTTCATAGCCTCAGCTTTCTATCCCGGTGAAGACTAGTCGTCTGCCGGGTAGTTATACTGAGAGGGCTTGGTCAGCTTAAGAGATTCCAAGCTACTGTCGGATCTTCCGCAGTCTAATCAGCAGTAAATCAACCCAGGGAATTGCAATTGAACCTAACTAAGGGGCTAGGGGGACTCAATCCCGAGTGACTCTTAACTGCTTTTGAAAACCGAACCATTTCCTGCTTTCTTACTGCTTTTGCTTTAAACAACACTCACTCGGCTTAGTTTGCTAGATAATAGAGAATCACGGAGTAAGCAGTAGATCTAGACCCCGGGTTGATAATATAACTTGCCTGTTACTGCATTCCCGGACTGCGATTACACTTGGTCGCAGTTTGGTGTTGTGTTTTGGCGTGTCAAGTTTTTGGCGCCGTTGCCGGGGAACCCTCTAGGTTATTGGGGAAACGTGATTATTTGTTACTCTAGCTTTTATTTACTGCATTTTATCTCTTCCACCTGTGTGCCTTCACGGGTTGCTTCTACTGATTGTGTGCAGGTAGTGCATGACCCGTAGCCAGTCGGGAGATCTACTACCATTAGACCAGGAGCTTGAACGAACTTGTAGGAACTTCAAGCGGGCTCTAAAGGCGCGACTGGCTGCGGAGGAGGCGCTGTCACAGCTGCAGTTAGGAGAAGAAGAAGAAGAAGGCGAGATGGGGGATCCGCAGAACAACGATCTGATCCCCGGGGAGCAGACCATGGGATCCTACTGGACCGCTAGGGCTGCGGACATGAGGTCACCTATTCAACACCCTCAGGTCCCAGCCAACAACTTTGAGGTGAGCACCTCCATGATCACCATGCTGCGCGGTTCAGTAGTGTTCCGTGGTAAGGAGGGAGAGTGCCCTCGATCACACCTCAGGCGATTCCACGAGCTCATCGATGGAATCAAGATCAACGGGGTCCCAGCAGATGCCATCCAGCTGCGGTACTTCCCTTTCACTCTTGAGGGGCAGGCCAAGGAGTGGCTAGACACTCGACCTCCGGGCTCCATCACCACGTTCGCCAACCTGGCGGACAAGTTCCTCACCCGCTACCATCCTCCATCCAAGACAGCTGATCTCCATAAGCAGATTACACACTTTTCTCAGGATGAGGATGAGACCATTAGGGATGCTTGGGAGAGGTACACCAGCCTCTTTCTCAGGTGTCCCAACCATGGTTTCAATGATGCGTTTAAGGTGGGCACTTTCTATCACGCCCTCTTCCCGGAGGACAAGCAGCTGATCGATTCGGTTTGTGGCGGGAACATGCTGACCAAAACCCCGCCACAGCTGAATCAACTATTTGAGGAGATGGCGGAGAATGGTTATGACTGGGGCACTGCCAGGAGATCGAGACGAGCACCTGGAAGGGGTGTGCATGCTGTGGGCACCCAGTCATCTGATCTGGTGCAGGTGGTATCGAAGCTGGTTTCAGCTATCGATCGTTCTGGTTTGATTGCAGGTACCGGACAGCCGCAGGCGATGCACTGCCAGTGGTGTGAGAGCTCTCATCACACCGTGGAGGACTGTCAGGCTATGAGGGAGTCGTCCACTCCACAGGAGCAGGTGGATTTCATCGGGAATGCCAGGCGCTTTGACCCCTACAGCAACACCTATAATGAGGGGTGGCGCCAGCATCCTAACTTTTCTTGGGCTGGGCCAAATCCCAGACCACCAGCTCCCCAGGGACCTCCCGGTTTCCAGAGGCCTCCATTCCAGCCCAGACAGGGGCAATTTCAGCAGCAACAGCAGCCACTCTACCAGCCCAGACAGGGGCCAGTTCCACCTCAGTCGCAGGCACGACCATTTCCACAGACAGGGGCAGCCCCAGCACAGGTTGACCCGATGGCGGAACTGAGAGATCTGGTGGGTTCTCTGGCCGCCTCTAGTGCAAGTAAATTCAATAACATGGAGCAGTTCATGGAGAAGGCTTCTGGCAAGTTCTTGGAGCTAGAAGCTGGTCAGAGAAACACGCAGGCTGTGCTGCGAGACATACAGACCCAGCTTGGTGGTGTTGCCCAGGCTGTTGCTCGACGGACTCCAGGTACCTTGCCTGGTCAGACCATCCCTCACCCGCAGAACCAGGATGAAAACTGCAGTGCCATCACAACCAGGAGTGGCAAGGTGACTGCCGATTCACCTGTTCGAGCAGCGGAGAAAGAGACCCCTGCTTCAGCACTTCCAGCTAATCAGGAAGAAATGGAGAAGGAGGTTGAGGTGCCTGCTCCTACACCGCAACCAGTGGTGAAGGAGTATGTACCACAGCTTCCCTTTCCTACTCGGTTGCACAAAGACCGATTGGAGACTGAGTTTGCCAAATTCATGGCAATGCTGAAGCAGGTGAATATTAGCATGCCCTTCGTGGAGGCATTATCGAAGATGCCCAAGTATGCCAAGTTCATGAAGGATCTCCTCACCAACAAGAGGAAGCTTGGGGAGCTGTCTACGGTGATGCTAAACGAGGAGTGTTCTGCCATCCTGCAGAACAAACTACCAGAGAAGCGAAAAGATCCAGGGAGTTTCACTATCCCTTGCATGATTGGTAGTTTGCATGTAGGGAAGTCCTTGGCGGATTTAGGCGCTAGCATTAATGTCATGCCTTATTCATTGTTTAAGAAGCTAGGCCTAGGTGAACCCAGTAATACTAGGATGAGCATCCAGCTTGCTGATAGATCTATTGTGCATCCTAGGGGTATAGCAGAGGACTTGATAGTCGCAGTAGGGCCATTTTCATATCCTGCTGATTTTGTGATTCTGGACATAAATGAGGATGTTGATGTGCCATTGATACTGGGTAGACCTTTTCTCGCCACCGCCAAGGCACTGATTGATGTTAATGATGGAAAGCTGATTTTGAGAGCTGGGGGTGAACAAATCACCTTCTCTGTTTCTGATAATATGAAACACCCCCAGCTCCATGATGATCTTGATTACTGTGATGTTGTTGCTGATTTTGAGACCGCACTCGCCATCACGAGTGCGGGTACTGATGATTTCCTTGAGCGTTGTCTTTTGCTAGGGGAACAGGCATCACAGGATATGCAGCTGGCGGAGCAGCTTGCGGAGCTGGACGAGGCTGCGAGCGAGGGGCGAGAGATGCCATTCAAGCCGATTCCC